ATACTTATCCTCTTGTACTAGCATCATAAAATTACAAATGATGTATTGTTCAGTTGCTGAATTTGAATCTACATATTATTTTTAATAAATCAGTATCAAATTTCTCCTTGTTAATGCTAATTAAGTTAGGTAATAAGATTTCCATTTAAATTATTCTTTGCCCTAATTATGTAGTGCTTTATATATTTATAATACGATAGTAAATAGTACCATCATCTTGTTGTTCAAGCTATACAAATGTCATGTCTCACTTCACTTCTCCCTGACCAATCCACCCATCATTTAATCAGATACTTTGTCCTACCCGTCTAGACACTACTTCCTAAGCAGGTCTACTTATTTCTTATTACTACCATCCGAGTCCAAGCTACCATCATTTCTTGCTCCCCATCTACTCTTGGTTCCTTCCAAATAATTGTCTATACTGTAGCCAGAGTGATCGTCTTAAAATGCAATCTGATCATTACACTCTGTTTAAAACCTTTATTGGCTCTTACCACCCTTAAAATAACAAACAAAATCCTTAGCGTACCTAGAATGATCTGGCCCATACCAATATCTCAATCTTCACTTCATGTCACTTATCTTCCCTCTTCTTCTGTCTCTGACCTATCTACGTGTCGAGCTCATGCTACAGTTCTCTGGTACAAGCACTTACAAGTACACTGCACTTCTTCATAACTCAACATACTCTTAACTATTTTCTCAATGTTGTTCTCAGTAAACTACATTATCACCAAGGACAGGCAGCAGCATATTTGTCTAATTTACAAGCAAATCTCCAACATTTAGCACATAACCTGAATGGATGAGTATGTGGAGAAGGAGGGTAGAAGAAATAGGAACAAAGAAAGTAAAAGAAGAAGAAAAGATTCATTGACTAAGCATCTCCACAGTCATTCCAATATGTTTAAAGAAAAGAATTGAGAATAGTCCTTTAGTTCCCATAAGAGCGTTGTGGTTCTTAGAATTATCTATATGAAGAAAAACTTCTAAGCCTGACTAAAAATTATATTACTATAGCACAGTGATGTAATATGTTATACTATAGGTTAAATAATATCACCGATTACTCCATTAGAATAGAACTGAGTAAAATATAGATAAGCCAAAAAAACACCATAAAGAAAAACGATTCCTTGACATTTATCTAGTATAACAAAAATAGGTTAAAAGCATAACTAACACTTCTTTAACTATTGAGGACTGACTCTGATGCT